GTGTTTGGTCTGAAATCATTCAAACCGGCTCGTAAACTACGGTTAACTTGAGCTATGAAAGCCAAGCATCTGGCATTTGCTTAGCAACATGAAACGTGGACAGCTAAAGACTGGAGCAAATTTATGCTTTCAGATGAAGCTACTCTGCAATAATTTGTTATGCGTAAAGAAAACAATACCTACGAGTAAGAGGTTCGATAAAAAATATACATTTCAGACTATGAATCACCCACCACGCCGGGTGATCTGGGATGTCATGCCCAAATCTGCTTCTTGACTTCAGGAACAACGATGAATGGTACACGGTATGTCGAACGGTATAGGAGAAAACTGGAACTGTAAATGCACATTCAGCAATGCACAGTATCTATGCATGGTGCTCCATGCTACCGGTCAAAGGTCGTACAGGATTTTTTTTTTAACAGCGTCAACGTTACAATACTGGACTGTACGAAAAACACCCCAGAGCATTTTTTTTACACCGAGGTTCATGTGACGGGGTAAGCGGCACAATTTCTGCGGTACGTTGGGAACGTAACGGTTAACCCTAGACTTGAACAGGTTAGATTCTAGTGATCTGGAAAACATCCTCTTGGATGTCGGTTCCACAGGGTAGTGATTTGCAGGAAGAAGCTGCTCGAGTGGAACTTACTTTTCACCAATGGGATACGGAGGAAATAAGTCTGGTTCGCTACAATGTGCATAGCATGGGGGCCTAACTGTGAAAGTGGAACACACCTATTCTATAGTTAATAGACTCTTCCCAACTATAATAAATAGGAGTAGTAGGGGTCGCTCAGTGGGTCGGTCAGTCAGTCGACTGGCTGATTGTTTGAACTCTCTGCCTTCGGGCGGCGAGGAACCCGAAGGAGGCTACGCCGAAGGACGGATTCTCTTTCGGGGAGGTAAACCGACCCTGAACCTGTTTATACTGGTTCAATGGGCATATTTTTGGCCGAGCCCACGGATCGGAGATCCCACGTTAAAAAGGGCTTGTGCCACATGACGCCCTTGTGGGGGGGGGACTGAATATCGTCGGTCAGTCAGTCGATGCCGGACGACCGTTAGTCGAATACTAAAGTATCAGCGACCACAACTAGATTACTCTGCGTCATTACCTATTATATCAAGTTCCTAACGTTTTGTACGTCGAACCTATTTTAGGAGCGACTTAGTACAAATACAAGCCTCCACTGTGAAACCACTCCACAACAGAAAGTACTGGTGAAACTAAGGAATATAGCTTGTCTGAGCACTTTCCGTCTGAGCACGTCTCGTCTGTGAGAAAGGGGTCATAGGGTGTAAAATAATTTATCGCCCACAAGAAGGCCGAGACGCTTTTTGACTTTATCATGACTGCTTAAATATGACAGCAGTACTCCATTTTCGGCTTTATTGTAAAGGTAGAGAATAGCACGTAGAGTCATGTACTTACTGGAGCTGTACAGAGAATCAACCATTTTCCATGCGTCTTTAGTGATTGACCGTATGTGCGAGTTCAACTTAAGGTCTAGATTAAATTTGAGACTCAATTGTCCCTCAAGGCACGGGGCCTCCCGGGGGAAACATTCATTCATCGTGACTGGTGGCAGTTCAGTGTCCGATCGGCGCTGAACCCAATTTTAAATTCATGAGAAATTGTCAAAAGGAAAGTCTTCACGTAGCGAAGAACTATTAAGGAAGTATGAACAATAAAACTCTCGGTTGACAACTGTAACAACTCGATCCTCAGCACGCTCAACTGTATCTAAGCAACAATCAAAAGCAAAGGAGGTCATACAAAATACTGACCGCTGGACTATTTGGCATGAAATGAATAGAGGACGTTGTCATGTACAAATTTGTGAATAAAATAGTCAGTCATGCAAACTCGTTAAGATCGATTACTCTATGCTTTCTTTTGCTCCTTTTAAATTCAATCCTTGTGTGTGTTAAATGTCTCGGTTAAATTCCTCGGTTTACGGCCACATGACGTTGGAACACCAGGCCCCCACTCCACAATTATGTTAAGCAACATCGAGCCTGGTCAGTACCTAGATGGGTGATCGTTTAGAAATACAAGGTGCTGTAAGCGTGGATATGCAGATGGCGCAATGAAAAATGGCTCGGAATTGTTAATCGGAGAGCCGAGTCCCAATTCCAGCCGTGTTCGTTATATTCACTTACGAACAAATATCCTTGGAAATAGTATGACTCCACCACTTCTCCCCATATATGGGTTAATTAGTAAGACTTGTATCCCGTATTATCTCAAAAATATCTTACAATCTAAAAATATTTAAAATCCAATATTGATAGATAGATAGATAGATAGATAGATAACGCCACTAAGATGCAAAGGCTTGTTCGAAGAGAAATTGAAGAAAAAAACTTTATAACGAACCAGAAACGCAATAATAATATACATTTCAAAGTTTAGGCGGAGACATTAGAAATATTGTGTTCAAGCAGAATTTAGAAGGAACCGGAAACGAAATCCTAAACAGGAAAAAAGGGATAAACATCTGTTCAAAAGACTGAGGAGGAGTGTGAACCGGACAATAGGCAAACCTATCTCGGAATATATATATATATATATATATATATATATATATATATATATATATAAGCGTGTACGGCCATGTACAAAATTTGATGAAATGGAAAAATGTTATTCAGCTTTGTTAATGGCTCCAAATACTTTAGTTAGACAAAATTTATCCTTGAACAAAATAACAGATTTCTCTATGAAATTCTGGTGTTTTCGGCTAATATTGGTCATTTTCAATAACAGGAATTGTATTATGGTTTTAAATTGCAAGAAAAATCTTTGATTTTTAAAATTTTCTGTCCTAATATTTGCTATTCAGAACGTTATAGATTTAAATCCTATATTGACTCTGTTGATAACGCCATTTATTGACTATTTACAACATATGCAAAGACATTTATTTCATTATGTCAACTGAGCGTATATTTGTTAAATGTTGAATATATTGAATCTACTGATTCCTCTGTTTGCAGAATATTTTATTTACTATATAACTTTGTATTTTATTAGTATGGCTTCAAGTGACAATAACCATTTTCATTTTTAAATTTGTATACCGTTTATTGTCTAAAAGCATCTGCTTACTTTTTACATACACTGGAAAAAACATTTATTAATTTATACGAAAAGAATAGAAAATTACAAAAATAAATTTAAATAAAAAATTGTCTGCCATCTTCCATAAAACCCGCATAAAATTAAATATATATATACATCGTCATAAAAGCCTTGCTTCGTGAACAAGGAAGCTGAAAAATAGTTTTCACGCTTGTCGTATGCTAACCAGTAGTCGAGAAGACTCCTGCGAGACAGACAAGTTTTTTTTGTTTGTTTTTTTCCAGTAGTTGTCTTTGGTGATTTTCAGATTGATTCGGTAAGAGTAATCGCCTGGAAAATCTTGTGTAGCTAAGAAGGCATAACAGCAGTCTCCGGTACTTTTTTTGGTACTCAATACCACAGAAGACGAGGGTCCTTTTTAAAGAAAACGTGTATCAACTCGCCAAATATTAGGATTTTCGACGGTTTTTCATCTTCGATACGTGGGTAACCAATCGCAGCTTTTTCTAGCAATATTTCCATGCTGAAGATGCCGACACGCTTTAAGGCCTTCAGTGTTTCTTTGTCATTTTAGGCGCCTTGGTTATCTTGCAGCGTGTTCGATCTTTACTGGTTGTATGAACCTTTCGATAACTTAGCATGTTTAAGGATCACACATGATAATTTCCCCGGTTGGTGACTCTTGCAATATAGCGCGGGCGTAAGTGCTTTATATCGTAAGAGTTATAGGGGAATCGTGTTCCAGCTGAGGATTCTTGTGGTCACTCAGCACTATTACTCTCGAGAGAGGTAAAAATACCTTTATGTTCTACCCTCCTCTTCAGGTATCTTGAAAGAAAATAACATATAACCGTTATGTCACAATTACTGATAAAAATTGGGCGGATAAGCGCTTGGGTTAATTCCTTATCCTATAAGTACTGCCCTAAACGCAGTAATTGTAGAATTCTGGTAATAATTAGCATACACAGCTAGATAATACTTGATGGTTTAGAGTTTAATTTCCCGTGTGGATTTTTCCGGTGAAATCAGGTTTTACATATATATTTATAAAAAGAATAAAATGTATTTACGCTAACATTTAGGCGTATTTATATATATATATATACTTTTTCATCTGCCTCCTTACGCGTGTATAGACGTTCGACCCTTATGTGTGAATTAAATGAAAAATTGACCAGTTCCCGCAGTCCATGTTGCAATGTAGTGAGCTGGATTATTGTTATATGAGGATAAAGTGTCGCAGTCGACACTGGAGTTTGAACACAGATCACCAGCGAGCAAACACAGGTGATTCCATTTCTAAGTAGACCACGTGATCATAAAGGAAATGCATATATGGGAATTAGCGTGGTGTCTAATTGATCACCATTTATACACTCTCCGCTATTCTATATACTATTCACTATACTATTTCTCTATATTAATCACTATAAGGATTACTTTCCGAGCGAGTACTATTAGTATGAGTGCTATTCGAAGGCGTCTGACACCAGCATTGTTCAACGGCGTACTATATTTGTATCGGCGATTACAAAGCCTCTACTACAACGACCATTACGAAAGTGACAACGAATATTCGTTGTCATTACAAAAGTGGCAACGAGTGTTCATTGACATCACAAAAATCGTTTTGATTGATCTGGTTTTTTATGGCTTATCAACCTTTTACAGGTTATTTAAAGCAAGAAAATATTTTTAGATGGTAAATTTTTATTAAGATAATAATGATTTAGTGATGCAAGTCTTACTAATTGACCCATAGCTGGTAGGAGAAGAGATGGTTTCATGCCTTCTCCAAGGGTATTTGAGCATATATGAATATAAAGAACCTGATTGGAATTGGAACTCGGCTCTCCGATTAACTATTCCGTGTCATTATCCATTACACCACCCGCACATCCAAGGTTATAGTACCTGTTATTCCCAAGCGGACGCCCATCTAAGTACTGACCAAGCTCGATATCTCTTAACTTCGGTGATCGTACGGGAACCGATCTTTCAATGTGATACGGCCGTAAGCTACAGAGCTGTTGCTAGGTGTATAATACACAAGGCGATTATAAAAGAACCTATTTTTAAAGGCGAATATTGACACTCACAATACGTATTTTTATAGAGAAGGTATTGAAGTTTATTGCACCAACACACTATAAATGTTGCATATTTGGCAGGGAGTGAGTAAGTTTTTCGGCAGCACCAGATTTTCCATTGGCAGTGAGCATTGTGAAAAAACGGCGACAAAATGTCTGCAAATGTTGCTAAGAAGGCTTCTGTGTGATTGAATTAAGCAAAACAAATATTTTTACTGTTGTACAACGGCATTTCCAAACACGTTTCGGGAAATCGCCATCAATGAGACAATCAATCTACGATTCGTTCTAGAAATTTGAAACAACTTGAGGTATGCGTAAAGGCAAAAGTCCCGGAAGGCCATTAGTGTCTGAAGTACCCATTCAGCGTGTAACTAAAAGTGCAGAAACTAAAGTTTACGACAAATGCTACAGTAAACTTTAAAGAGCTTCCGTACAAAAAAAAATACATCGTGAATGACAATATTTCAAATAGCTTCAGTTGAATAATTTATATTTTAAAATTTGATGCGGCAGAACTTCAATATCTGTGGCCAATAGCTTCCAAGATTCACATAGACGATGAAGCCCATTTAACAACAGAAGAGACGCAACTGGCCCAACTTAGAAATGTATTTGACATGTAACAAACCAATTCTGAAAATCAAATGAACTACTCAAAAACATTTCAGTCCTTAATAAAGAAAACTTTTCTTTATTAATTCGAATTTTTATACGTGGGATCTGAAGATAGACTGTAAATGTCTTTGTCATCTCTTTGAGAATATTCAGATATTTTGAACATACTTGCACTATTAAAGACATATGTCTTTTATTTTACATTATTTCTTTGAAATATATTTTGAAAAGTATTAGGATGAGTCAGAAATAATTTCCGTTTTGAAGAACCAATTATAATGACATGTCGTCCTCAGCGTTCATTAAATGTTTCATACGAGGTGATTTTAGCAATTCGCTCCTCTTTTATTAGGAGTGATAACGTCATTAATGCTTTCTGTAAGAGTCGCCGAAATGACAAATTCCGATCTTGTTAAATCTCTTGTTGATACTAATTGCACAACCCTTTGTCAGCTTACAGATTTTGTTTGACTGGCATGTTCTAGGTGAGGGAAAATAATGAAATAATTCAAACAGAAGTCAAAAGACTGAATACACCAAGGAACCTGAGGCGTTCGAAGATGCACGCAGTGAAATGTAGTAAACTGAAACAAAGGTACTGATACTAAGCCAAAAAAAAATGTTGTCGGAGTTAACTCCTCCTTAATTTCCTGATTGTTCACTAGGGCACGCTCTAACTACACTATAAATACTGGGCGACTTATCGCCTCGTTCTCTTTTACACTTTGCATTTCAGCAGACACATTTAAAAATATGATCTCCCATAGAGATCCGCGTTTTCGCCCACTCGTGGGAAAACGCCATGAAACACACATACACGTACATACGAACATTTACCAATATACAAACTCTTTACGTTCACACACAAACACAAATGTAAATTCGTTGTTTAATACATATATTTGCCGACATATATATATTTATCGGTCTTGTTTGTTTTCTTTACATTTCTTTATGGTTGATTCAAATTTCTAAATCCGCCATGTTCTTTTAGTGGACCTTCTAGCAGGAATAAACAGGAACGTGTTTCTAATTCAACAACACTCACACCCACACGGTCCTCTACAATGTCATCAAACAGTAACTTTCGACATTATAGGGCAAAGGTTATTTTATATTCTTTGTGGCATGATGTTGTTATTGTGAAACCAATTCACTAAATGAATTTAATCAAAATGTTTTATATCTTCAACCCCAGTTTCCACATTAGTTGTAACTGTGTTTTTTCAGTATTGCAGCGGATTTTAGCAGTTTTGTCGTCTGGATGTGCGCAATTCACTCCGTTCTAGTTTTTTCTTGCTTTCTTCCTGATTTTTAAGTTTGCTCCCAGTGCTCATATGGCAACTGGCACTATTTTCACGTTCACATTCTATAATTTTCTTGGCAAGCTAGAGCTTTATTTGCTTGCTTTTTATCCTGTTTCTGGCTTGGATTTGATAATTCACTCGGATCTCAAAATCCCGGTTGTTTTTGTTTTATCCCCAAAGAACATTCTGATCTGTATGATAAAACATGAAAAAAACGCAGTCACTTGCAAAGTTCCCAGCGGACAACATTTCCCACCCATTCAAGTCTGTTATTTTTTTCTTTTGGTTTAATTTGCTACATTCTAACTTTTTTCTTTGTTTATCTTTAGATTTTATTTTATTTTATTTTTTATTTGTATACTACTTAGATTAGCCAACGAGGTAAGAAAAGAAAGATTATATTACGACAGTCTTCGAAAGATGTATTGTCTACTGCCTTATAAATCAGCATTGTCGACTAACCAGGATGTTAACCATTACAACAAAGGCGAACATTGCATCAAATCGCATCCAAATAGCACACTAAATCCACCAATCAATATATCGTCCGGCATACACTGCATTTCATACGGTTTCATTATCACCAACTAACAATGGTACAGCTATTGACACCAGACCATCGGTCACTGTCTCTTCTTCTATATGCCGTGTTTCTTTACATTGTTGATAAATAAAGTTAAATTTTACAATCACGTGAACTTAGAGAAGACCACAATAAAAAAAAATAACATTATTTTAGTTTAACGAGATTGAAACCATTTATAAACAAAATCAATAACGGAGGACTGATATTACGTAACAGTTAATTACTCTTTTCTGGGTTACTAGCAACATTTTCCTGATTCTTAATACTTTGCTTAGCTTTTGAAAGGTATCTTTTGCTATCCCAATGTGCATTCAGATTTCGGTGTCGCTCTTTCCGTTCTCTGTTCAAACACTTCCGAACGCTGGCGATCATAGCCTTGCACAATTCCCTGTCCTTTGTAAATAAGTATCATCTTCTTATCGCTCTCAAACCCTTTTCCGCCATCCATTCACTGAAGCTCTCTAGGTAGGTTACGCATTATTCTTCTGGGTCACTCTTGCCTCCATTCACTCCTGTGAGTATCAAATTTTCCTTTCCTTCTGTTCTCATTATGTGCCCTAGAGATTTCAGTTGTCTCTTCCTGATGTTAAGTATAAAGGTTCTTTATATCTCCATTTTCGGTCTATGCATCCTTTTATACAATCACCAGTCTCTCCTTCATCTGTGAAGATATTGTCCAGAATTCCCTGCCATATACGAAGACTGCTATTATATAACAGTTCAGTACTCTTTTATTTGTTTCTGTTGCTTCAAGACACTCCTTCATCTCCGTTTCTTAATATTTTGCTTAGTTTTTGAAAAGCATCTTTCTCTATTCCAATGCCCCTTCAGTTTTCATTGTCGCACTTTCTGTTCTCTGTTAAAACATTTTCCAGATATTTAAATTCATTGTATTTGTTTGATTTTGTTATCTCCGATTTGTAATGTGCATGTTGGGCTGTTCCTTTTGCTAGCAACCATTCTGTCTTCTTGCAATTGTTGTATACTTGGATTAAATAGCATCATCATTGTACCACAGAAGATTGTCACCCAATCAGACATGTCATATCTGTAACTCTTTCAAGTAGACGCTCGAAATCGTGTGTGGAGCAAATAATATAAGGCTAAAACTACAGCTTATCAGCAGATTGTTAAGAAAGCAGACAGTGTCTCTATAATCCTGTGTCATCTGTTGGAATTTACAAGGATCATTAGTGAAATTATGAGAGGCAGAATCTCGTGCAGTGACACATACACTTGCTAATATATTATTGATATCACAAGGCCAAACAATGGAATTTCTGATAAAATCAAATTTGTTTCCTAAAAGTGACATGACATCAATTATGCTAAAGGGTCTCTTTATGCCAAACGTTGGCAGCTCTCCAACATATATAAACTCATCATGAATGACCAAGGGAAAAAAAAACAAGTATTTACTTTTTTCTTTTTCTCTTTTTATCTGTGTATTTGCTAGACGATAAAAATAAACGTAAACCCTCCATGATTTTTAACAAATACATAAACCTGAAACAAGGACGGTCAGGCATATATCAAATTATAAGTCGATATTTATTAAACTTAATTTAGTCTGGCAGATGGCCCTAACAGTGGGAAATTATTCTTTTTATGTGGCATATCCTTTCGAGACCTTGGCTGATCATGGCTCCCCACAACTTCTTGCCTTTGCTGCTCTAAGAATCTATTTTTTACTGTTTATCATCCCTGTTCTGTCATCTATTCACAGAAACTCATTATTTAGACTACTTGCTGTTTCACTTCGTTTCTCTTAACTAGATCTTGTGAGTGTTAAATTCTCCAAGCCGTCTTTCCTATTCTGTGCCACAGAAATTTAAACAGTCTCTTTCTGATTGTAATTATCAGTTCCCTTAGAGTTCCTATTTTCCTTGAGATTTGTTCGTTGTCTACACGTTCTGCCCATAATATTCTCTGAATTCGTCGATAAAATCACGTCTGTCGATTCAAGTCTCTTCTTCATCTGTTCAGCATTCACAACCACATAGGAAATTATATATTACATAGAAGTGTTTTTGAAATGACATTTTCCTATCTCTTGTTATTTTGCTTAGTTTCTGACAGACATTTTAGTCATTTCTATGCATTTTCAGATTTATCTTCCTGTATTTTTCCGTCTTCTGTTTCTACACTACCCAGATTGTTAAATTTCTATCCCTGCTTGATTTTGACGTTGTTTTAATAGAAAAAGATTACAAATTTCAACCGAAAATAGCACTGGCAGCTCGGTTAATGAATGCGGAATATTTCCTTATAAGGAAACGGCTAATGTTACTATTACTATTAAAATCAGCCGAGTGGTTAGAACGTTAGTTTCGTGACCACGAGACACGGGTTCGAATCTCACCATGGTCAATTTATCAGGAAGGTGACTTCTTGATGCTATCGGTCCGGAGCATTTT